TTTAATACGATGACTCGCATATTATATGACTGAGAAAATTGCGAACCCGCGCCCGTTAATTTGCACTGCGATACATTAAGAATTAACGATAAATTGGCCTGCCCTCAGCCAATCACAATCACCTCACAATTGTCCGTCTAGTATTAACCCTCGAGTTTAGCTTGTTTTTAAGATGAAAACGATTTTATCTGTTAATTTCAGTAATACTTAATTTTTGGGTAGTACATGGCATTTAAATCCAAGAAGTGAAATAAAATGTGTCCTTTCCCAAAATCCTCTAATCGACCTTTCAGGGTGCTAAGGAATCATTGTAATAATGATGATGATAATGAAAATGATGATGATAATGATGATGACGATGATGATGACGGTGACGATGATGACGATGATAATGTTGATGATGACGACGATGACGACGATGACGACGATGACGACGATGACGACGATGACGACGATGACGATGATGATGACGATGATGATGATAATGACGATGATGATGATGACGTTGACGATGATGACGATGATGATGATGATAATGATAACGACGATGACGATGATGATGATGCTGACGACGATGATGGTGCTGATGATGATGATGATAATCATTATCATCATCACCATCATCATTCTTCTCATCGTCTTCGTCGTCAGCAACATCACGACCATACACACATACATACATACATACATACACACACACACACACATACATACATACATACATACATATACTTTATTTATGCTTGAAATTGTTGAAAGCATTGTTCAAACACCACTTACCAAAGATGAAGCCGTAATAGCGTAGTCGGGAATATACCAGTTCTCTATTCCCAGAGGTACTGCGCACTCTAAAAACAACGTAACGAGCATTTGCCGTAAGAAGCACCATATCGGAGTTGTGACACCCCGTATTTTAAGGTATTTAATTTATTCATTCTCTCGATAACCTGCGTTGAATAGAGCGGTTTTCAATTGAGGGACACACACAATCCAGTGAAGCAATCAAAACTCCAAACAAATACATGTACCTGACACTAAGCTCAAGAACAAGTTTGTGAGCGAGCCACAATTGGTTTTGGTTTTACTGCTGACTGGACGACAAAGTTGCGCGAGTATTTTAAGCCATTCGTGGAGCGTAATATGGCCAAACCAAAGCAAATGAAAGTTACTGTATTTTCGACATTCAAGTGAAAACCGCCTTCGTCTGCGAAACATAGCGTAAAACAAAAACACGTTGAGATTACCTGATTGTAATCGGCAACCATAGAGTTCCATCCTCATGGCTATGTGACCGTGCCATTCCACTGGGTTGATCCGAATTACCCGAGCCTCGATTGGCGTCTCTAAATCGTTGATAACAATGCCGTTTCGGTCGCTGTTTCCGTTGTATACCTGAGAAAATCAACGTATAATTATCTGGAAACTAGAACTGAACAAAAGCATTTATCCTCTTAGTGTAACTATCGAATTTTTCAGTCCCTAAAACCGTGTTAGAACAGTGATACAAAAGGTTTCAGTTTACGAAGTTACTGTACTTGGAGACGCAATTAGGTGCTAGATGTGATATAGCAAACACGGGAAACCGTGAAAATAAAAATATATATTTTGAAAGTGTTTGGAAATTTGAGTGATTGATTTATGTTATCAATCAAAACTTAAACTAATGAGAAAACGGAGAAATGCATATACTTGATGAATTATTTCTGCATTTGAGAGATGTCTATTTCTGTCAAACTCTCGGAAACTTCATTTGAGCATGCACAATAACATACTCCTTCCGTTTTACCACAGAATTTCAACTATTCTTGAGGCTTAATTAACTTCTCTCTGTTTTTTATTCTTCCAGGTTCTTTTATGGTTTTGTTGGACATTTAAGGGCCTAAGAAAACGTTTGGAAAGTTTTCGCCAGAACGCCGAATAGAATAAGCACGCGTGATGATGTAAGCTAAGAATTCGTCTTCATTATTTAATTTGTAATAGTTTTTTTTTAATAATGTGTTTATTATCATAGTCAATGGAGGGAAATGGTTAGGGAGGCCAGTAAACATCAAAGAAGCAAACAAACAGGCTAAGATTTGTGTTGGGAGGTCCTTGACCCTACACATTTTTTGTTTTAAGCTCGTTGACTGTGTACGTATGAATTACATAATCGTGGTGCTTCTATTCAGGGGTTAGTTGTATGAGCATACATAACCACCTTTTGTACTTTGCTAGGTTTTGTGCAGGGTCAACCCCGAAAATAGCCAACAAAAACATACAACAAAGAACTTTGCCAGATTTTTTAATAATTTCCCTCTACTAACTATGGTTTAATCAAATCGGTAAACTGTGATCATGAAAAAAATGGCAGTTGATCTGTCAAAATACATATGCGTTTTAATTTGTAATTTCATTAGACTCACCTTACTTTGGGTGATAAAATGAACACCATCGAGGCTGTAAGACACTTTGAACTTGGTAACCCACTGGTCGTAGTAGTCATATCTGCCCTGAATTCCTATATTTGTTATCCTGGTGACTTCCAAAAAGGCTACTTGAATCCACTGGGAGGCATCACTTATTTTAGCAGACCAAGCTCCGATTGTACCACCACCGCTGGGTCTGTTGAGCCTGGCGTTGGTAGGTCCGTGGTTACTGTCCCACTTGAATCAACAATCATCGATTGCTCAATCATATCAATCAATCGGCAACTATTGCACAGTATTTCTTACGATAACGTTATAGGCTACATAAATAAGGCTTGGCAGCTTGGTAAGGTCTAGCAAGATTTTCGTCGAATTTCACGGGTCTCGTACTCTCGTGGTTTAATTAGTTATGCGCGTGTCCCAGTCTCGATTTTTTTCACAAACCTGTCTCGGGATCTCGATGTTTTGCAAGGCTAAGATAAACTCGAATGACTCATTTGCTTTTATTTATAAATTGACTTCTGAACGTCTTAGAGTCTGTCTCGCCGTCTCGAAAAAGTCTCGCATTTACCCTTCACCAACCGTTAAAGATGAATATCTTCCTTTTTAACAATGGGTTCGCTGTCTACTTTGTAAGAGATTTCTACAAGTTTTACAGGAAAACAAGAAATACATTCCCACTAGCTGCATTAAACATGGTTAAGGTAACTAGTCTCAAGGACTTGCCACAAGTCGACCTCGTGAGTTTCAGGGTAGAAAAGCTAAGGCAAAGGACTTTTCTGAAAGTCTACTAGTCTCACACAAAGAATGTTATCATCAAGGGAGCAGGGATGGCGCAGTGGTGGGAGCGCTCGCCTCCCACCAATGTGGCTCAGTGGGTTGAGTTTGTTGTTGGTTCCCGCCTTGCTATGAGGGTTTTTATCTGGGTTCTCCAGTTTTCCTCCCTCCTGAAAAATTAACACTCCAAATTCCAATTCGACCAGGATATGATAGAGGACCATCCGAAGGCTGATGTGCCTTCCTCTCTAAATATTGTCATTTATATTTTAGTGTATATTATCTGAGAAACTAATACAGCCCCTTCAGAGTGCAAGAAGAACGGTCCCTCGAGAAATTGTGTTTTACCTTGATGAGAAAAAGCGATAGAATACTACTGTGACCCAAGTTGAGAAAGAAAAATTGAAAATACGTCTAACAGACTCTTTTACCTCTGAAGACGCGGTAATAGCTGAGTTGGGAATCCCGTAGTTTTCCAAACCCAAAGGTTTTGCGCATTCTGAAGAGGGAATACAAATTATAACTGGTTAATAAATCAAGTTAAAATTAAACGTGTGTTTTTAAGAAAGCTTAATTTCTAATCAATCGCATCGTATTGCACTAGGATCACGAGATTGACAACTAAATTTACGAGGTAAATTTGCCCTAGGATCCAGTTACGGTAGTGGATGCAAAAATAACTGTCTTAGAATCTTAATTCTCAGCAGCAAACTTGCATAGCTCTAACGGTACGGTATGGGCATTCCTACCGCATGGGTCGGACCCGGTACCTAGCCACTGAAGCAATGCATTTGGACCATAGATGGAATATGTAACTTCAGAGAGGTAATGTAATATCACGTCAAGTTATTCATGTGTTGTGTGGTATTGTATTGCATTGCATTAAAATAGCGTTGCGTTGCGTTACATTGCATTGTGTTGTGTTGCGTTGCGTTGCATTGCATTGCATTGCATTGTATTGTATTGTTATGTTATGTAATGTAATACAATGTAGTGTACTGTATTGTAGCGTATTGTAACGAAATGCAAGAAGAGTAAGTATCTAGTACCGTACTGTAAGAAGAATTAGTAGAATAAATGTAAGTATATAAATGTAAGTATATTTCTGAAAGTAATATAGGTATTGTTTCTAAACGTAGAGTATTGTAGAAAAGGAAGCAAATTAAAGAAAGTAAGTAACTATCTGTTTTGCAAATACAAAATAAAATTAGAAAATGATAATAAAAAACTTCAGAGAGGTACTGAGGTATTCTCTCGTATGGGATGGTTGTCGAGGTGTCGAGGGCGTCAATTCCTCTAATAAGAGTACTCATTCCACGTAGAGGAGAGGTCGGGTTCCACAGTGTGTATCATAAATTATTCTCCGCTTTACCTGGTTTCAAGCTGCACCCATAAAGTTCCATTCTCATTGAAATGTGTCCATACCATGCATATGGATGAAGACGGATAAATCGAGCTTCAATTGGTTCCATTAAAGTGTTTAAAACAACATTGTTTTGGTCGTTATTTCCTTGGTAGATCTACACAAAAAAGCAACGAAGATGCTTAATGCACCTGGAAGTCATTGAGGTTGTTGTTATTTATGTACTGTCGTAGATTTTAAAATATCATTTGTCAGTAAAGGGGCACTGAAAGAACAATTAAAGGGAACTCCATAGATAAGGAATTAAATCAAGAAAATTTCGAAGTTTTCAAAAACAAATTCTAAACAAAGCAGCTGAAATCATATATTTAGATTTGATCTTTTACCTTCTTCTCTATTTAACTTTATTCCAGTTGTATTTAAATTAAATTAAATGATTTTTATTTATCTTTGCTGTTCCATACAATGCCGCCCACTTTACAGTAGCTTTGACCCCTAATAAGTTGTTTGACTTTTCTATCAAATTGTTTTATTTGTTTTTTCCCTGTATCCATGTTTTTTTCGTCGTTCTCAATGCTTTAAACATATAGACCTTTCCTCTTTCAATTTTTTGGTTGAGCCAACCATTGCTAAATGCTACTTTGGAAGTTATTCTGGGTGGAATTTTACCCGCTAAGGTATTCCTATATTGCAATATTTTTTTTGATAATCGGTACTTTTTCTCATCTTCTCTTGATAAATGTGTCTGTTTTAGTTCACCCACAAACCTTTTTTTGGGGCTCGAAGTGCTTGCCATCCAGACTGTAAGATAATTTGAATGCTGTGACCCATTGTGCAACGTCCTGCCTTCCCTGAATTGCCACCTTTGTCACTCGAGTCAGCTCACGAAGATTGACCTGAATCCATTGTCCTAAGTCATTTGTCTTGGCGGACCAAGCCCTTGCCTTGCCCCAGCCAACTGGAATATTAAGCCTTGCATAGCTGGGTCCGTAGTCTGCAGCCCACTAAAAACACATATTTGTTTTTACTGAGGGACAAATGAAATGAAATTTTAAAAAAGCAAAGGCGTGTATAAGGCACTGAGTGTGCATTGTGGAGCGTTCCTGTTTACTTACCTCAGAGGAGGCGGTCATGTCAGAATTTGGTATGTATTTGCTCTGAATGCCAAGGGGCCAGTCGCAGTCTAAAAGAGAAGGCGATTTAGTTTAACCTTAAGTCTTTGATAGTGATATCAAGACTCCGAAAGATCCTGCCACTATTGCTCTCGATTCCACTCGTTCACATACTTATAAAGAACGAGAAATGCGCATGAATGAATTATTCAAGTGGCAGGTATTCTGCAGTTAATCTAAGACACTTACAAACGTCGTATCGGACTCAGGGAACGTAAAGTGATCTTGAAAACGATACTGAGACGTCGGTTAGCTTAAGGAATGACGACAGCGACGCCAAGAATTACTTCTAGTGAAAAACGACTTAATATTTTACTTTTGAATTTCGTAGATTTGTATATCTGTTCAGAACGCCTATCGATCTCAGAACTTGCTCAAGCCTAATATGTAATGCCAGCGTTGAATTCAAATGAAAATATGAAAACTTTGCCGGCGTCTTTCACATTCTCTAAAATGCGCAGAAATTGTTAATTTCACTTTGTTGTTTCGCAGAGAAAGGCTAATAAAGGTACAAAGATTTATAACGCACGTGCAAAGCCGTTCAGTGTTCTGCTCATTAAGCCCTTTTTTTCGGTGGCGTTCTCGTTGCCGTTGCCGTCGTGGTTTGCTTAAGGTCCCTATATTGCCTAAAACGACGCAAAACGTAAGATGCAAATGGAAAAGGTATAGGAAAAACTTGAACCAAAAGACAAAGCGAAATTGTGCTAAAATCTCCAACAGAATGCCAATTACATATATGTAAGAAAAACGAAAAGAATGAGACAACAAGGGAATAGCATGCGTGAAAACATTACAAAGAATACGACAACCACAGCCGATACAATCCGCATCACAAAGATCACATTTTCACTAAAGCAAACTTTGCCTCTTGTAGCTTCAGACGCTCGTTTTTTTCAGAACTTACGTATGCTGGTTGTTACTCCGAATCGATTTTCTTCTCAAAATCTTTTAGTTATTTTCGAACAGCGTGAGCATATTCACTCGTCTTATTGGTGAGACTATTGGGGTTGTTTGGTTTACCTGTAGGTCACTCTTGCCGGATTTTGATCGTGAAGGATCGCTAAATTCAGAAATGTGGCGATGGTAGAGTTGACGAAGCTTTTTGGTTGCTTAAGTAGCATATTGGAGACTTAAGCCCAATTTATGTTGATGATCGCAAAAAAATTGAGCTGAATCCCGAGGGAATAGGATATTCAGATACGTTTCTTGTACATACCTTTCTCGGCATATCCTGAAAAAATAAACCGGATAATCTCAGTGTCAGCAATTAAAAGAGATGTTCACCTTTATAATAATAAAATAAATAAGTAGAGACACTAATGCGACCTAATTCTAACACTGAGTACAATGGTTAATCTGAGCCCTGCAGGAACCTAAACCGTGTCAAGATCTTCTCCAGTCGGCGTAAAATGCATACTTGTTTCTTTGATCGAGGTTCCTATTTGCCTTCTGCGTTGGTCAATTAAGGTACTGGGTGATAATGTCTACCTCACAAACTGAAATGTATCAGCATACCTTGTGTGAAGGTTAAAGAAAAATTTCGCGGTATTTACTTTAACTAATTTTTCAAAAACAGCTCCGTGTAAGTTTAAAGCATCTCAATGAGAAGTTGCCTGTTACGTTTGTGGTTTGCTGCGTTCTCAGAAATAATCAGCAGGCCTTCAATTCTTACCTTGGAGTTTAGGAATTATTTTGTGTTTACTATCATGAAAAAGCCCGTTTACATGAGAAAAATGCATGAAAATCAAAGAATTCAAGACAGCGCATATACAATTTACTAAAAGCCACTGAAAAGTTCTAGCATCCATCGATAAATCATTTAGCGTTACTGTTTTCAATCCGGTAGGAACTGTTCTGTTTTCATTTAATTCATAAATCTATACGACAGAAAAAAACGGTAGCAGAAACCGACTCCAATTGAAAGCAAACCTATGTCTTCTTACTTGCCTATAGTTGATGTAAGTTGAAGCAGCAAAATAATGCCCAGCTTAGTGTCCATCGTAGCACTGAGAGCAATATCTGTCAAAATACATATGCGTTTTAATTTGTAATTTCATTAGACTCACCTTACTTTGGGTGATAAAATGAACACCATCGAGGCTGTAAGACACTTTGAACTTGGTAACCCACTGGTCGTAGTAGTCATATCTGCCCTGAATTCCTATATTTGTTATCCTGGTGACTTCCAAAAAGGCTACTTGAATCCACTGGGAGGCATCACTTATTTTAGCAGACCAAGCTCCGATTGTACCACCACCGCTGGGTCTGTTGAGCCTGGCGTTGGTAGGTCCGTGGTTACTGTCCCACTTGAATCAACAATCATCGATTGCTCAATCATATCAATCAATCGGCAACTATTGCACAGTATTTCTTACGATAACGTTATAGGCTACATAAATAAGGCTTGGCAGCTTGGTAAGGTCTAGCAAGATTTTCGTCGAATTTCACGGGTCTCGTACTCTCGTGGTTTAATTAGTTATGCGCGTGTCCCAGTCTCGATTTTTTTCACAAACCTGTCTCGGGATCTCGATGTTTTGCAAGGCTAAGATAAACTCGAATGACTCATTTGCTTTTATTTATAAATTGACTTCTGAACGTCTTAGAGTCTGTCTCGCCGTCTCGAAAAAGTCTCGCATTTACCCTTCACCAACCGTTAAAGATGAATATCTTCCTTTTTAACAATGGGTTCGCTGTCTACTTTGTAAGAGATTTCTACAAGTTTTACAGGAAAACAAGAAATACATTCCCACTAGCTGCATTAAACATGGTTAAGGTAACTAGTCTCAAGGACTTGCCACAAGTCGACCTCGTGAGTTTCAGGGTAGAAAAGCTAAGGCAAAGGACTTTTCTGAAAGTCTACTAGTCTCACACAAAGAATGTTATCATCAAGGGAGCAGGGATGGCGCAGTGGTGGGAGCGCTCGCCTCCCACCAATGTGGCTCAGTGGGTTGAGTTTGTTGTTGGTTCCCGCCTTGCTATGAGGGTTTTTATCTGGGTTCTCCAGTTTTCCTCCCTCCTGAAAAATTAACACTCCAAATTCCAATTCGACCAGGATATGATAGAGGACCATCCGAAGGCTGATGTGCCTTCCTCTCTAAATATTGTCATTTATATTTTAGTGTATATTATCTGAGAAACTAATACAGCCCCTTCAGAGTGCAAGAAGAACGGTCCCTCGAGAAATTGTGTTTTACCTTGATGAGAAAAAGCGATAGAATACTACTGTGACCCAAGTTGAGAAAGAAAAATTGAAAATACGTCTAACAGACTCTTTTACCTCTGAAGACGCGGTAATAGCTGAGTTGGGAATCCCGTAGTTTTCCAAACCCAAAGGTTTTGCGCATTCTGAAGAGGGAATACAAATTATAACTGGTTAATAAATCAAGTTAAAATTAAACGTGTGTTTTTAAGAAAGCTTAATTTCTAATCAATCGCATCGTATTGCACTAGGATCACGAGATTGACAACTAAATTTACGAGGTAAATTTGCCCTAGGATCCAGTTACGGTAGTGGATGCAAAAATAACTGTCTTAGAATCTTAATTCTCAGCAGCAAACTTGCATAGCTCTAACGGTACGGTATGGGCATTCCTACCGCATGGGTCGGACCCGGTACCTAGCCACTGAAGCAATGCATTTGGACCATAGATGGAATATGTAACTTCAGAGAGGTAATGTAATATCACGTCAAGTTATTCATGTGTTGTGTGGTATTGTATTGCATTGCATTAAAATAGCGTTGCGTTGCGTTACATTGCATTGTGTTGTGTTGCGTTGCGTTGCATTGCATTGCATTGCATTGTATTGTATTGTTATGTTATGTAATGTAATACAATGTAGTGTACTGTATTGTAGCGTATTGTAACGAAATGCAAGAAGAGTAAGTATCTAGTACCGTACTGTAAGAAGAATTAGTAGAATAAATGTAAGTATATAAATGTAAGTATATTTCTGAAAGTAATATAGGTATTGTTTCTAAACGTAGAGTATTGTAGAAAAGGAAGCAAATTAAAGAAAGTAAGTAACTATCTGTTTTGCAAATACAAAATAAAATTAGAAAATGATAATAAAAAACTTCAGAGAGGTACTGAGGTATTCTCTCGTATGGGATGGTTGTCGAGGTGTCGAGGGCGTCAATTCCTCTAATAAGAGTACTCATTCCACGTAGAGGAGAGGTCGGGTTCCACAGTGTGTATCATAAATTATTCTCCGCTTTACCTGGTTTCAAGCTGCACCCATAAAGTTCCATTCTCATTGAAATGTGTCCATACCATGCATATGGATGAAGACGGATAAATCGAGCTTCAATTGGTTCCATTAAAGTGTTTAAAACAACATTGTTTTGGTCGTTATTTCCTTGGTAGATCTACACAAAAAAGCAACGAAGATGCTTAATGCACCTGGAAGTCATTGAGGTTGTTGTTATTTATGTACTGTCGTAGATTTTAAAATATCATTTGTCAGTAAAGGGGCACTGAAAGAACAATTAAAGGGAACTCCATAGATAAGGAATTAAATCAAGAAAATTTCGAAGTTTTCAAAAACAAATTCTAAACAAAGCAGCTGAAATCATATATTTAGATTTGATCTTTTACCTTCTTCTCTATTTAACTTTATTCCAGTTGTATTTAAATTAAATTAAATGATTTTTATTTATCTTTGCTGTTCCATACAATGCCGCCCACTTTACAGTAGCTTTGACCCCTAATAAGTTGTTTGACTTTTCTATCAAATTGTTTTATTTGTTTTTTCCCTGTATCCATGTTTTTTTCGTCGTTCTCAATGCTTTAAACATATAGACCTTTCCTCTTTCAATTTTTTGGTTGAGCCAACCATTGCTAAATGCTACTTTGGAAGTTATTCTGGGTGGAATTTTACCCGCTAAGGTATTCCTATATTGCAATATTTTTTTTGATAATCGGTACTTTTTCTCATCTTCTCTTGATAAATGTGTCTGTTTTAGTTCACCCACAAACCTTTTTTTGGGGCTCGAAGTGCTTGCCATCCAGACTGTAAGATAATTTGAATGCTGTGACCCATTGTGCAACGTCCTGCCTTCCCTGAATTGCCACCTTTGTCACTCGAGTCAGCTCACGAAGATTGACCTGAATCCATTGTCCTAAGTCATTTGTCTTGGCGGACCAAGCCCTTGCCTTGCCCCAGCCAACTGGAATATTAAGCCTTGCATAGCTGGGTCCGTAGTCTGCAGCCCACTAAAAACACATATTTGTTTTTACTGAGGGACAAATGAAATGAAATTTTAAAAAAGCAAAGGCGTGTATAAGGCACTGAGTGTGCATTGTGGAGCGTTCCTGTTTACTTACCTCAGAGGAGGCGGTCATGTCAGAATTTGGTATGTATTTGCTCTGAATGCCAAGGGGCCAGTCGCAGTCTAAAAGAGAAGGCGATTTAGTTTAACCTTAAGTCTTTGATAGTGATATCAAGACTCCGAAAGATCCTGCCACTATTGCTCTCGATTCCACTCGTTCACATACTTATAAAGAACGAGAAATGCGCATGAATGAATTATTCAAGTGGCAGGTATTCTGCAGTTAATCTAAGACACTTACAAACGTCGTATCGGACTCAGGGAACGTAAAGTGATCTTGAAAACGATACTGAGACGTCGGTTAGCTTAAGGAATGACGACAGCGACGCCAAGAATTACTTCTAGTGAAAAACGACTTAATATTTTACTTTTGAATTTCGTAGATTTGTATATCTGTTCAGAACGCCTATCGATCTCAGAACTTGCTCAAGCCTAATATGTAATGCCAGCGTTGAATTCAAATGAAAATATGAAAACTTTGCCGGCGTCTTTCACATTCTCTAAAATGCGCAGAAATTGTTAATTTCACTTTGTTGTTTCGCAGAGAAAGGCTAATAAAGGTACAAAGATTTATAACGCACGTGCAAAGCCGTTCAGTGTTCTGCTCATTAAGCCCTTTTTTTCGGTGGCGTTCTCGTTGCCGTTGCCGTCGTGGTTTGCTTAAGGTCCCTATATTGCCTAAAACGACGCAAAACGTAAGATGCAAATGGAAAAGGTATAGGAAAAACTTGAACCAAAAGACAAAGCGAAATTGTGCTAAAATCTCCAACAGAATGCCAATTACATATATGTAAGAAAAACGAAAAGAATGAGACAACAAGGGAATAGCATGCGTGAAAACATTACAAAGAATACGACAACCACAGCCGATACAATCCGCATCACAAAGATCACATTTTCACTAAAGCAAACTTTGCCTCTTGTAGCTTCAGACGCTCGTTTTTTTCAGAACTTACGTATGCTGGTTGTTACTCCGAATCGATTTTCTTCTCAAAATCTTTTAGTTATTTTCGAACAGCGTGAGCATATTCACTCGTCTTATTGGTGAGACTATTGGGGTTGTTTGGTTTACCTGTAGGTCACTCTTGCCGGATTTTGATCGTGAAGGATCGCTAAATTCAGAAATGTGGCGATGGTAGAGTTGACGAAGCTTTTTGGTTGCTTAAGTAGCATATTGGAGACTTAAGCCCAATTTATGTTGATGATCGCAAAAAAATTGAGCTGAATCCCGAGGGAATAGGATATTCAGATACGTTTCTTGTACATACCTTTCTCGGCATATCCTGAAAAAATAAACCGGATAATCTCAGTGTCAGCAATTAAAAGAGATGTTCACCTTTATAATAATAAAATAAATAAGTAGAGACACTAATGCGACCTAATTCTAACACTGAGTACAATGGTTAATCTGAGCCCTGCAGGAACCTAAACCGTGTCAAGATCTTCTCCAGTCGGCGTAAAATGCATACTTGTTTCTTTGATCGAGGTTCCTATTTGCCTTCTGCGTTGGTCAATTAAGGTACTGGGTGATAATGTCTACCTCACAAACTGAAATGTATCAGCATACCTTGTGTGAAGGTTAAAGAAAAATTTCGCGGTATTTACTTTAACTAATTTTTCAAAAACAGCTCCGTGTAAGTTTAAAGCATCTCAATGAGAAGTTGCCTGTTACGTTTGTGGTTTGCTGCGTTCTCAGAAATAATCAGCAGGCCTTCAATTCTTACCTTGGAGTTTAGGAATTATTTTGTGTTTACTATCATGAAAAAGCCCGTTTACATGAGAAAAATGCATGAAAATCAAAGAATTCAAGACAGCGCATATACAATTTACTAAAAGCCACTGAAAAGTTCTAGCATCCATCGATAAATCATTTAGCGTTACTGTTTTCAATCCGGTAGGAACTGTTCTGTTTTCATTTAATTCATAAATCTATACGACAGAAAAAAACGGTAGCAGAAACCGACTCCAATTGAAAGCAAACCTATGTCTTCTTACTTGCCTATAGTTGATGTAAGTTGAAGCAGCAAAATAATGCCCAGCTTAGTGTCCATCGTAGCACTGAGAGCAAACTGATGTGCTGTGTAAACGTGACCCTCTTTGTCTAGCCTTTCAACGTCTCATGGAAGTTTCATTAAATTCCGATATTGGCTCCGTTAGAAGCTATTTCTGAAGGTGGGCGAAGTAATTAAGGAAGTCTGAGAAACCGGAAAGAGGAAGCCCTTGTTCCAAGGCTGAAAACTCAACTAATTAATTACGGCAAATAAATTTCTTATTTTGTGGATTATCTGACTTCGAATGTCGTGTCGACCTTGCTAGAAGTCGACCACCCGCATCTTACAGATGAAACAACCCCTCAAGCATTCTGACAGCCTTCTGCTCATGACTCATTGTGCAAATTTACAGTTTGTTATTGCACGAAACCTGTATGTCGTATTTATTTAGTCAGATTAGAAGCAACCATTTATACTTCTTTTAAAACCAACTTTGAAACTTCTTCTTCTGAAAAGTACTATTGCCTCAATAAGCTGAATTTTTTTTTGTCGTGTGGAGATCTTTCCCACAGGAAGTTTCACTTGTTTTTCATTAATATGTATCCCTTAAGCTAACTGTATAATAAATATATGACAAATTTATAACAAATGTAAACAGCCATAAATTGGTGTAAATGAAATAAACTGCACGGAAGCTGCTAACGAAAAAAGCCGGGAATTTAGCGTTGTCAGGTCAAATATTTTCCTTTGGGTTGGTCCACCAGTCAAAACGGTTTTACTGGTTCTTCGAAAGAATAAAATAATTAACCCAATTATATTTTTAAAAAATTTCTAGGTAAAGACAAATAGTTGCAAAACCTAGTAACAAAACTTACCTTCTCTGGAATGCAAAGGATGGTGTTCCTTTCGGATCTTGGTGGAGTATCTACAGTTCAAGCAAAGAGAAATGAAAATGAACTATTTAGCAATTGATGAAAGCTTTTTGGTACCATAGCGCTTTTATTATAGTGCTTCTGGTAGAGGTAAATCTGGTTCTTCGTTATCTTTTCGCTTGCTAACGAAATACACATGTATCTTTTTTTTTTCTATCCCGTCTAGAAAATAACAGCATCAAAAATAACTTCCTTTGGCAAAAATAACTTCCGTTGTTTCATCAGCTGTCTTACATGACTCAGCTCTATATGCAGTCTGCTTTAAAATATCTTTGCCTAAAAACTAATTAAAAGTGCGATATTGGACGACAACTTCCTGTAAGCAACAGTGTCCCTCGACTTTAATGGCAGCTTAACGTGCAAACAGTATTTTACATTATATGAGTCATTCAAAAACCCTCATCGTTTTCAATCTTTCGGTGCCTGGGTGACTTGTAGCAAGGTCGACATAAACATTGAAGTATATATAACCAACGTAAGACTAGAAGTGAATAAGGCATTTATCTCGTCCTTAGCACTGAATTTAGTAACAGGAATTTACTTTGTTTTATTATTACTAGTATTATTATTATTATTATTATTATTATTATTATTATT